TGTGTGTCTGTGTGTGTTGACAGCAGCATGCTTAACAACAGCAGCAGCTCTCTCTCTGCCCCTCATGCACACGCATTCTTATGCTCACTTGAAAACGCACTGGCTCCTAATTTTTCTACACACTGTACTGATGTTCAGATTTTTTTTTTCCTTCCACAAAAGATATTTAATCTTTTTTTAAAATGTGCATTTTCCTAAAGCTGCACTGATAATGTATTAGTATCACTATAATGTTTATCACAGAGAAAGATCAACATCTGTCCACTTTCCTTTACTTCTTCAAAGCCATTTAAGAAGTGATGCTGATTGTTTTTTGGTTTTACAACACATTTACTGTCTTGGTTCTCTCTTCTCTCAGCCTTCATCAACCTAGGTTCCAACAGCTACAAGCAATAAAAAAGCTTTCAGACTACCTGATTTAAATTGCGATGATGGAAGCTTTTATGATGTATGAAATGACACTCTGAAATAGCACCGAGCCCAGTTACAGATAGGCTGGTAAACAAAGTGTAGCTTATGGATGCTGAATAGGCAGATGTTTGTCACTGGAGTTGGTAGAGACCAAAATCAGCGGTAAAAGACTGGTCCAAATATATTTGTTCTTTTTCGTAGCATTCATTTTGTGTCTCACTTTGGGAATGTCTCCTGTGTGACTTCATCAGAAGCTCAAATACCAGTACCCCAACCTCAGTTGGCTGGCACTAATAACACCTACGTCAGGAGGGCTGGGGACCCTCTTCCTATATAAAATGCTGACATAGAGTCAGCTGCCATTCAAAAATCTCTTCTCTCTTATGTGCCACGTCCTCTCCTGGATCTCGACATGCAGGACATGTGCAAGCGCACAGCTGTTAGGCTTGGCTTCCTGTAGCCATTGGAGCAAAGGTGGAAAAATCTTGTTTTCATGGCAAAAAGCAGCAAAAGGCAAAGAAGACAGGAAAGCAGGTGTTGCTAATCTTCCCAGAGCTGCTTGATGAGACAGTCATGACATGAGAGTCAAGCCTGACAGCAAGAAACACCCCCTTATTGTCGGAGATTCTCTGTTGGATTGTGAGGGGATGGGGGCTCATGGTATGCGCCAGATGCATGCCACCATGACTGCTGGTAACTACCTACTTTTACCCAAGGGCCTCCTTGTATTCTGCAGCTCTGTCCCTCCCCGCAAAGACGGACCGTATTCAGTTTAGCCTCACTGATTAGTGCTACAAGGCAGCAGTTCTGTCAGCGAGGGCTTTTTGCGCATCGCTGGTCACGTCATTCACCTCCACAAAGTAGGCATCCGAGCTCAGGGAGAGCCATGGACCTTATGGTTCTTCAAGAAAGGGTACACTGGCTCAAGAAAAAAAAGAGTACCTCCTCGACACCCTGACTGTACCCCAGGGTCATTTAATACAGCCGTCACCTCAATGCAGAAGAGATGTGAGGAGAAAACGAAAGATGATGAGGCGCTGAAAATCTGCCTGCTGTGGAGGGCTCAACCTGCCGCCCCCCCGTGCCATGTCAGTCATATGCACACGGCTGTGTCTCTGGCATTCAGGATTCCCAATGTGCCAAAGCCTCTGGTCCCCGCAGATCCCAAGAAAAATTTAAGCTGCAAGCAGCGTTGGACGGGCCCTCGCACTTCCGCGTGTGTCGGATGGCATTTGAGGACAATACAGTCAATACAGTGGCTAATAATAGCACATGAAAGTGTAAAACACGTTATTTCCTATTGCCAGCAGGTGGCGCTATGACTGTGAATGGATGTTGGCATATGGGTTTCATCAGGGCAGGACTGTGATCAAGTATGTAAAGTTTGAGGCAGATTGGAGCATGTACAGGGTCGTTAGACACGCTTCCTTTTTGATGGTGAATCATCACAATTCAGAGGGCCGCCACGGCCACGCCCTCAGACTTTTGCGGAGCGTTTTGATAACTTTTAATCACCAAGCCCTGTTGTATGTGCTGGCCAAATTTGAGGTGTGTAGGAGTTAACCCCTAGGAGGAGTTTGCTCTCCAAAATGACAAAAAATCACCAAAAATTGCACAATTATTTCAAAATGGCAGACTTCCTGTTGAGTTTACAGGAAGGCTTTTTTGTGCGTCCTGATATGTTGCATATGCCTACCAATTTTTGTAAACATCGGTTAAACGCCCTGCGGGGGCTAATGTATAAATTGCTGCAGGGGGGCGCTATAGAGCCATTTTTCCAAACAGGCACACATTGTCTGTTGTTGAGCTGATAGTGACTCGTATGCTGATTTTGGTGATTTTACGAGCATTCTAAAGCTGTCAGAAAGTCCTTTCTGTGCGAGCAAAGGCCACAAAAAATAAGAAAAAAAAATTAGATATTTTGAAAGACATAGTGATCTTGTCTGCTATAACACAGTCAGTCGCTACAATAGTGATCGTGCAGACCACCAATTGCTTCCAGACCATGTGCTGGCGGCAATGGAGCACATAGAAGTTGTGTGTTGCATATCCCAGCCACAAGGGGGCGTGAACACAACACTTTTGGCAGAGTGACCTGTCGGCCCTCTCTTCCTGCGTGGGGAGAGCTTGGCTGCCAACACAGTCTTAATAGACGTTAAGAACAATACAGAAAGGCAAACGGCTCCAATTTTAGATCACTCCACCCCATTTCAAAGAAGTTGACAATATTTTCTCGGAGGAAATCTCCACCTAAAGAAAGAAAGGTGCAGTAAGAGTTGTTCCTCCAGAGGAAACTCACAGTGGTTTCTGCTCAAGATATTCCTTGTCCCAAAGAAGGGCAGAGGGCGGACAAGAGCCATTTTGGATTTCCATGCCCAAATCTGTCATCCAAGGAAAAATAAATTCAGGATGCTGACACGCACATCTGCTAAAGTTTCTGAGAGCAGTGACTAGTTTAAATTAACGCTTGTTTTCACATTACCATATATCGTTCCTACCAGTAATAGCTGAGATCTGCTTTTCAGGGGGTGTTTTACGAGGTTGTGGTCCTGTCACTGAGCCTAAAAGTGTTTGTAAAATGCACAGAGGAAGTTGTAGCCCCACTCCGGGAGAAGGGGGTTCAAGTGTTCACATATATTGACGGTTGGCTTGTGGTCGCTTCTTTCCGCAAGGAGATGGCTCATCACACAGAAAGCTGGGTTTTCAGATAAAATGTGGAAAAGGGCAGGATGACACCTAATCAGTGCATCATTTCCATTGGGCTCACTTGGGACTCTTTCCAATGCAAGATGTTCTTGTCCATGGAAAGAGTGAAGACTATGCAACAAATCTGGTACTGTTTAGCAGGGGCAAGATGGTTTCTCTTAAACTTATGGCCTCCTTTGTAGTGGCCATTCCATTGGGATGCTTGTGTATGAGAGGTGGGCAGCGGTGGGTGGTTTCCCTGGCTTCGGATCCTCACCGTGATGGCCACTGCAAGGTGAGGGTTTCCACAGATTGCTCAAGAGCACTTCACCAGTGAAAGTCCCCTGCTTCCTGGCTCAAGGTGTTGCTATGAGAACGGTCTCAGCCAGGAAGGTGATCACTGCAGATGCCTTGCTGGTGGGATGGGGTGCCAAACACAAAAAGAGAGCAGTGAAATGGGAAATGGGACCCTCACGTGCAATCTTTCCGCATTATTTTCCTGGTCTGAAAAAATTTCCCCTTGGCTGAGGGGCCATCATGTTTTAGTGTGGAGAGACACTTACACCATTGTGGCTTACATTAACAGACAAGTGGGTGGATGTGGGAGGGAGGTCCCCTCAGTTGCATACACCAGCACACAGACTGATAGGTTGGAGCACTGTTACACCTGCAGTCACTGAGGGTGACTCATGTACAGGGCATCCTAACTGGCAGGTGGATCTGTTATCCAGAGGTGACCCATTGTATGTAGAATGGAGGCTTCACCCAGATGCGGTGAAGCAGATTTGGTTACAGCACAGTCAGACAATCGTGGATGTTTATGGGTCAGTGAGGAATACTCAACGCCCTCTATTCTTCTCGGATTATCAGATTCCCTCGAGGTGTGGATGCACTTTCACTTGAGTGGCCGAGGATCTTACTTTTTGCTTTCCCACCGGTGGCTCTCATCCATCTAATACTGACCAAAGTGAGGTAGCCGGGCCTGTCTACGATACTTGCTGCCCAGCAGTTGCCAGAAAAGCACTGGCTGGCAAACATTTTTCAACTTCTGTCCGCTATGACTATTACCACTTCGCAATGACCTGCTGTCTCAAGCATGAGGGGAATATTTCACCTCCATCCACAGAAGCTGGCTCTGTGGGCCTGGTCCGTGAGTGGTTCAGTGTGAACATGGTGGGACTCCCTCACAGTTTAACTGACACTATGTGGTGTGCTAGAACCCTAGAGCTTTGTCTGCTAGGTTTGGGAGGTTAAATAGGTTGGATGTCATGGTGTTTAATCTAATGCAGTCAGTCCTCAGTGTGCCCTCTTCCCAGATTGGAGCTTCTCAGGTCTGAAGTGCCACTGAGGGTAGTTGTCTTCTCTACAGGTATGTCAGGTAGCCCGGGGGTCAGTATTTCTTCAATAGTGAGATACAAAATGAAAGCTATGAAAGAGAACTAAGATTATAAACGTAACCACGGTTTTTTGATCAGCATGAGTGAATGTCTCGCCAGACCACCCTCCTTGCTATAGAAGCAAGGCAGAGATGAGCTTGTTTTAATGAATGTCAGCCTATTGTATAAGATTAGGGTCTCCAGCCCCCCTGACACATGTATGTCAGGGGGGCTTAGGACGTATGTATGATATGTGAGCCTCTGAGGTCACACAGGATGCATTACCAGTGAGACACTTACTCAGGCTATTCAGAGAACCAGGCTTATGTCCATAATCTTTAGGCTTACATCCACCAGGTAGACACAAACACCACACACAAATGCTGGTCTCTGTAAGCAGTTTTTCTCTGTGTAAACAGCATTTGGTCTTATCAAAAATCAGCTAATGCACCTTTAAATTAAATAATGCTGTAGGTGTTTTAAAATGCAAAGTGAAAAAGGGTTATTAGGGAGTATTGATTTGATTGAGCTGCTATGACAGCATTGACAGATGCAAACATTTGCTTGAGCCCCTGTTGTGTTAGTCCACCATGTAAATAGGCTTTGAAATCAAATTGAGGCTGTACTTAATCTGCTTCTGCTGAACATTATATTGCAATAAAGATGAGCTATGTTTTAGATTGAATGAATTCCATACGAACATAAATTTAAAATGTTTGTTGCTTGAAATATATTTTTTATTGCAATTGACAGTACAGAATCACTTCTACAACAACCAAACACAAGATGGCATTTAATGTTTCATTCAGTCATGGCCATGTTAACAGAGAAAATCAAAACATGAACAGGAGGCCAGGTCATGTTTTACGTCCGGTTGATGTGAGTGTCATTCAGTTGATGATTAACTGTCACTTAGGCTGAGCTAGAATAGCTGAAAACATCTGAAGCAGTGAAGTCTTTGGTCTGCTGGATTTTAATATTTTTATCAAATCATTGGGACAGGTAATGTACAGCTACAGAATTTATAGATACATGGAAGTAGGTTTGTGTACAACATGACATTAAAAAACACAAGAACAATCAATTAGGCATGTAACATAAACCAGTTTCACAAGACTTTTTTTTCTTCATCATTCATTGAGTCCTCTTCAGAAACTGAATTAAGCATTTAAAAACTAAAACAAAGAAGTACATATTTACAGAAGTTTTACAAAATCTTTGTTACCAGAATTATTGCCAACTTGTAAGGGCAAAAAAGAAGATTAAACAAATAAATGAAATACACCAAGATATTCTTCTCATAACTTGTAATGTAGAAATGACACATACTGAAATCCAGATTGAACAGAGCTTCAGTTCATAAACCCATCAACCCATGGTCCACTCTACGGGCAACCTCCTCTGTCACACTTTGCAGATTAAACTTGAAAGGACTTGCTGAATCCTATCAAAGCACATGTAGTAATAATGGAAATTCTGTAAAAAAAAAAAAACTCAACAAATTCCTGGATTTTGATTTACACCAAAATCTCCCTTTGCCTGTGGCATAATTGTACATCCAGCTAACTGAGTGCACGGTAAAACCCCCTGTAACAGCTTCACTGTTCCATATGTTTTTATTTTGTGTGGTTCATTTCCATGTATTTTATTGTCTTGCAAAGGCTTATTGGTAGTCCATTTCTGCTTCCCGTTTCGACCCTGATGGTCAGCAGTAGCTGCAGCTGGGAGCTGAAAGTGCTGAGCCTGGAGAAGATGAGTGGTGTGACTGATAGTCCTTTAGCTAGTGGTTTTTATTTTATAATTGTGGCATCCACATTTCCACTGGCACACTAGAGGAGCAGAACTGTCTTGGAAGAAGGCAGTCTTTCATTTCTTTTTTGAGACTTGTTGTACAAGCTTTGAAAAACAGTGTTAGTCAAGTTAAACTGCCACATAAAAGCTGGATATTGACAAATGTGCTCCTAAAAAATGTTTAATAAAGTTTTATATGATAATATGCCACAATAAATACAGTAGTATAAGAAGTGTAATTTGCAGAGTCACTAATTTTTAATGTTTGTTTGTGGCAAATGTTGTAATTATTACTTTTCTCTTAAAGGCAAACAATATCTCATCATCCTAGTCCCGTGGGATTGCTTGGAAACTTGTACATATAACTTAAGAAAATAAGGACACATAACTTGTATGTGGAAGATACCTGAATCTTATTTCTTGTCTGCTATACATACCGCATTACTGTGCTTGCAGTAAATCTGAAAGGTAAAGTATAGTCAGGTCTTTATTCAGTGACACAATTTAAAAACTTTGCCTCTCTGCATTGCCACTTTGAAAGACAAATTAAGCAATCAAGATGTTATTGAAATGTAGCTTCGAGCTTTATTTAGTGCTTTTAACAAAAATATTGCATTAACTGTTGTTTTTTTTGTTTGTTTGTTTTTACAAAGTTTCTTCATTTTCATTGCTTCAAAACTACTAGAAAGTTGATAGGCACGACAGATTAAGACAACAAAAGGTCTGGGTCTGAGTGTAAGCGCTGAATTTGCATTTGGTAGTTTCTGATTGGTACTCTCAATGTGCGCTTCAATCAAGGGGTGGTGCAAGTGAAGAAGACCGTCATTAGACTGAAAGAATGGAGCCACTGAAGGCGGTTGCAGTAAAGGCAGGGCAAAGAATCTCAAGCATAAAAACTCAGCATTTGTGATGTTCATGGGTTCCAGGCGGTCATTGGATGAAAAGGATTAGCATCATAAATCTACACTTTAGTTACATTTTGATTGCTTCATTTTCAGATCATTTGTCATGGTCTGCAGAGGCAACATTCCGAAAATAGTATCGCTGTCAAAAAGACTTGTCAGCCTGTCTGTATGTGCAGTTTGACCAGTTCCCTTTTTGGTTTTGTCAAGTAGACAGCTGTATTTATAATCACACCTGCAAACGTAGCCTATGGTATTCCCAGCTGTTAGTAAAGTTAAACAGTGACCCTGCTTCTGTTCTGTACAGAAAATATTACTATTTGCTACCAATAGTCACTGAAAGTCTGTGTGTTGTGTTCATCACAGGACAGCGTTCATATAATGTTGCTACAACATCCTCCTGCATTCTTCATGGCTTATAAACGTTAGCAGAAGAAACACGGAGCTAGGTAAAATGATCATAATCGTAGGGACAGTGGACTTGTATCTGGTTTATAATTTCCAGTTTACTTTGGTTACTTTACTGTAATGATAGCGAAGTCTTGTTAATCGTTTTGTAGCACATTTGCTAAATGAAGGCGTTTGTTATGACACAATCACAGTTTGTGCAGCTCACCTCCTAATCAGGCAGCTCAGCAAGGACTGAGTAAGATAAGAGAATAATGCTCGAGTCAAGATTTAGCAGCATTCAGCTCTCAGAGTGATGCAGATCAATAGTGATAGATATATAATTGGTGCACTGAATCAGACTGTGCATTGGAAGGCTTGGGAATTAAGTTAGCTTAAAGTTGCCCAAGGCCATTGTTCCTTGGTGAATGATCATTTTCAACAGCTCCAGATAGATCAGAAAGATTTGCAGAATGGTCTTGACTGACGTTTGCTACATCTGAATGGTTATTTGTGGACAGAGTGTTATTCATTTGTGAAGGCGTCACTGAGACAGAGTTTTCAATAGTCTCTGCAGTGTCTAAGGTGCTTTTTGTTTCTGGAACTGCAGCAGAATCATTGCTTTGTTGTACATCATTCCCATCCACCCCTCTATCAAATGTGCTTTCTTGGTGTTTACCTCCAAATGTAGTACCTAATGTCATGTCTTCTAATTCCTTGTCTACTTCTGGAAGCATGGACAATCTTTTGGACAGTCTCTGTGGCAGAAAGCTGGCAAAAGAAATTCGGGTAGATGACCTCAGAGCAACTCGCTCATTGTCAGCTCCACCTTCTAAAAACGGTGACGGACCAGCCCATTCTGAAGCTGTTATCTGCTGTTTGCGAAGCTTCCTTTTTTTTATGAAGATGACAAGGAATCCTACCATCATAAGTATCAGTGCCCCACCTATTAGTCCTGCCACTGTTTCGCTGTGGTGTGTTCTATTTTTGGAATTTTCCTCTTTTCCTGAAGGATTTTGTCTTTTCTTTACCGTGGTGGTGTGGATGAAGGAGGTGGCCACTGAAGTTTTGTATAAACCTGTAGGCTGTGCTGTATCACCATCTGTAGCTGTGCTTGTACTTTCAGACTTGTCTTCTTCCGGCTTGATAGATGTGGTTGCAGTAGAGATGAGGTTTGTAGTCTGTGGTGGTTGTTTAGATGGATGGGTAGTTTTGTCTTTGACAAACTGAGAGGTTGATGTCTCCACTGTGCCCTGGGTTTGGGTAAAGTTGCCAAGTACAGCAGGTACCCTTGTAGGTTTGGTTAGGTTGCTGGCTTGACTGGCTCCAGCTGTTGTAGATTTTATGACTTTAGATTGTTCTTCTGTTGTGGACCTAATGCCTGTTGAGCCGAATCTGGAATCCGTTGGAGTTGCTGTCGTTTGAGTGTTCATTAAGATTTTTGTAGGAGGCATTGTCTGAGTTGTTTGCAGAGAAGCTGTAGTGGTAGTTTTTCCCTCTGACACATTAGCACCAACCATGACAGACGGTGTTGCAGTGTGATCTGAGACTTTTGAGCCTGGATATGAGCTGAACATCTTCTGTGAAGTCAGCTGGTCGTGTATGAAATTCTTTCTGGTTACCTCGCTGCTCGCTGTCCCAGACAGCAGCCATGTGAAAATGAGGATCATGAAATTGATGGTCATTGTTTTCCTCAGTCTTCTGGCTGGTTAATGGGTCTTTGTAACTAGAACAGAGGAGGTTATTTTATGAGAATTGCGCAGCATACATTCTGAAGCAGTGTCATCTCATGAGGAAATGTCAAAGTGAATTTGATGTAATCTGCTGTTGCGTAATTTCCTCAAAGAACAGGCACATGTTTCAAGGGTAGGATTTGGTATTTTAAGGAACAGAAGTCAACAGTTTCGTGTTACTTATATTTGTCTTTCCACTGGATGTTGGTTAGTTTCACAATATTTGCACACTCGGGTCTCTCCAGTCATTAATGAGTGAAAAACTACTCAGTTATAGCCGAGGGCTATAAGCTTGAAGAAACTGAACATGCCTACATATGTATTTTTAATGAAAAAATTATTAGAATGTTAACACACATTATATAAAAATAGTCCGAGTTGTATTACTTTGAAATGAAAACCAAAGGGTCAAGACCCCAGAGGATTAGACAAACAAGCAAATCAGTACATTAGGAGTATTCTTACAATAACGGATTTTTAAATCAGCTTTGTCATTGTCATTTCTCAATCAAAAATCCCAAAAGACCATTTAGCTGTGACTGTTAAGTTGTGATGGTGGGACTGTTTCAGGCCTTTAAATATGCGCACTTTTTTTGCAAATGGATGTACTCTCCTCATTTCAATTTAAGCATTAATTCAAACCACTCAAGATATTATTTTGACTACATAAACAATTCAGATGAATTAAATGTACTTACCAATGACGGAAAACTTTTTGTAGCCTGTTAGCTGTCGTTTCAGGATGTATAGAAAGTTAAAGTTAAAAAGGAACTAGGGGCATGGTCGACTCCTTTCTTCTGAAATGTCTGATTCTTGCCTCACTTACAGGAAGTGTGACAAGCATGTGCGTTCTCATTCTGCTGTACTAAAAATAGTCGTTCATGTTTCACACCAAAGACTAACCACATTACCAGTGTTTTTTTTTAAATGCTAAATTGTAAAGAACAAAGCTAAACTGCCATCTGTAAAACTCTTGGTTGTCAAAAACCTTTTTTTTTTGAGGTTTCCTAGACAAAAGGCTTTGATCGTGTATTGCACACACTGATCTGAAGGCTTACACATGCTATTAACTTCAATTTAATTCAGCTTGTGCAGAGCTCTTTTCTGTGTTGAGTCAAGCATGGTATATAGAGCAAGGACTGTACATCCATGTTCACGACCACTGCAGCTGCAATTTCAGCTAGATATGTAAATATAGACTACATTCCTTTTTTTTTTTAAAGTGCTCATTTGCTAACTGTGCACATATCAAACACATGCCATAAAGTCTCCATCTCCTTTTTATTTTAACAAAACCATCCACTCTGTAGTCTTCACTTCTGTAGGTGCACTAGTGGAGACAGAGAAACCAGTAAGGCTGCTGCACCTGATGTCTAACACGCACTGAGCCTGAAACTCAATCTAATTTGTCCACCATCTGAGACAAGATTGGCACATTAAATAATATGCTTATCAATAACAATAGCAGCAATTAAGCCAATTTGGGGTTGTTTGATTGTACTTACTACACTTTTAGTACTTCAGTGCACGATTGACCAAATTATTTCTTACAGTTGTGCTTCTATACTCTTACATACCCTGAAGAATCCAATACAGGGATTGTGACCTTTAAAACACAATGACACAATGATTTCTTTTAACACAATGCAAAAAGAAATTTATTTAAAACCTGACAGTGTAACAGGCTTTTTCATGTAATAAGTTTTAAAAGAGCAATAATATTAAAAAAAAAAATCTGTCATGGATGTAATATTATGTACATTATATTGATTCAACCAACACAAGCAAAATTCAAAAATTCCCCAAATTTTTTTTTTAATAGAACAAGGAGTGTTCCCAGCTTTCTGACCATCTTTTCAGCATTGCTTCAGTAGCACACAAGGTCACTGGTGTCAAACCTAGGAAAAGATATTGGGATCCTCTAATACTGTAAATTTGTGTTGATCTTCTTGTTGTTGGTTTACCGTTTTATATGTTTCTTAAATTATTGTGTTCACTCAGTTATGCAAACAAGACATTTGATTCAAACCAAGCACAAGTGTAACAAATTTGTAGCACTGGGTTACATCTTCAAAAGTTTATTCAACATTTACAATGCACTCTTTTTAAATATTAGTTTCTTGTGTGCCAAAAGTACTTCTTTGCTGCTTTACACTTCAATAAAAATTACTAAGCAGCACTATTCTTTTTACAAAACTGAAATATTCTCTATATAACTAAAAAAAGAAAACAATTATCTGAATATATTATTCTTATTTGCTTCTATATTACTTTTGAACAAATCCCACATACATCAATATGTATTGTATCATTCGTAAAAAGCAAAATCTTGGTTGTACTTGGTATCAAAACCTGAAACAAACACAAACTGTTTGGAAACTTTGAATCACATCATTTAGAAACATAATTTTGCCAGATTTAGAGTATGTACTACTGGCTATATAATATCATAGAACTTCAGCTGATTTTCTTGAGTGAAAAGAGCTGAAAATTGCAAAAGTAAGCTAAGATAAAACTACACTTTTTATTATGTGTACCAAAAATGTGTGGTCTATTGGCACTAGTATTCAAAACTTCATACAATGCACATGCAGCCCTATATTTTACTGAGTTTTGAGTTAAAAATTGTCAAGTAAACTAAACTTGAAAGAATGAAAATCGAACATGCCAAGTTAACGTATAACAGCTGAACTGAGTAATTGTATCTGAGGCTGGAGTTCACCAAGGTAGGGGTACCTCCTCACACAACAAGGGGCATGTCCTCTAAATCTCTAGGAATCTCCAAACAGGAGTCCCTGGAGCTGGAGCTCCTTATCTGACTGGCTCTGTCTTCAGGATCAAAAGCCATTGCTGTCGCCCCTTCCTCAAGTCTTGCCTCCTCCATTGCCGCTTGTATTTCAGCCTGCTTCTCTTCCTCTATCTTGTCTTGTCCTGTCACTTCCTCGAGCATGACACTGGTGTCACATGGGCCAACCAGTCCTCCAATCTCTGGTCGGTCTGTACCCCAGTAGCCGGTACCACTCACCAAGTCCATGTTAGACCGTGAGGTTCGAGGGACATAAACCCGTCGCTGAAGTTGGCAGACCTGCCATGCCAGAACTATGATGGCAACCAGCAAGCAGACAATCAGGCCCCCTGCTGTACCTATAGCAATCAGGCCCATCTCAGTGTCCATCAAGCAGTCAGCACGAGTGCCATTGATGCTGTTGGTGAAGTTTCTGTCGTCAGTGGTAGTGAAGCCAGACTCCACAATGGGGGTTGTGCTGCCACCTTGGTTCTCTGATTCAGATAAATGCGTCTGGATAGTTGAATGGTTTTGGTTTGTGTCGGTGTGACAGAATGGCAGTTGGTTGAGCAGGATAAAAAGCCAGAGAGTTCTGATGCCTTCCATCTTGCTCTGAAATTAAGAAACCATGTCATTGTGTAAATATAACCTTAAAAACACTTCACTTACAGCTTGCAACATAGCTCTCTTGAAGTTACGACAAGTGCTTTCACAATGCCACTTCAGAAACTTACTGATTTTACCTTTAAGCTTGCATGTTTAATATTATTATTAGTAGTAGTAGTAATAATAATAAAAGTATATAGCACTTTTCAAGATACTCAGATGCTTTACAAAAAGGTAACAACGGAACAAACAAACAACATTAACAAATAAATAAATAAAACAATGGGAAAGGAGTATAAAGAGCATGATGTGATTGAGATAGAACTGAATAATTTTATATTGAATGCTTACCTAAAGTAGTCTTATGGAGGTCTTGGTGGAGGTATGAAGAAAGACACCTCTGCAAACGGACTCTGAAGATGCTCTGAGTGCGCTTCCTGTCCCCTTCTCTGGGTCTTTTTCTGGGCTGTTTTTTTTAGAACATCTGCTTTAATACCACATAGGCTGAAGGTCTCTTACAAGAAAAGAGAGACAAAAAAAGGTATGAAGTTTCTCAGAAAAAACATTCTGAAGCAGTCGTTAGTGCCACACAGTGGCGGCTGGTGAATACGGAGTGAAGGTGCGCCGTCCCACGACTAATGACCAGATCAAAAGTAGTTCTCAAACACAATATTAAATTTGAATTAATTATAACTAAATAATAATACAGTTAATGATAATGTTCATTTTCTTTTGCAATATTAACAATATTTGTATTATTAGTGGATTTATAATGAGTTTTTACAGCGTGTTACTAATTTTACACTTCCTGGATGCGGGGCGCCAGCTAAATAAGTGTATATGTAGCTTGAAAAACTTTTCATGATCATTGGCCCGGGCTCTGATTGGCAGTTGCAGATTTTCTCAAGGGGGGCAGCTTGGTGCGTCCTGGACCCTCCCACTTTTTCTGTAAGCCAATTCATTTTGTCTTGATGTTCTTACAACTGCGCTTTCTGACGCCGTCACACAGCCTTTCCCCCACTCTTCTACTAGGTGACAGCTACTGTATTGATGGCCTAATGCATTGGCCATGCTGTCAGTGGAGGAAAGGTTGGTCACAGAGATGAGTAACTTCAACCAAAAAGTAATAGAGAAGTTTGCAGAGCATAGAGAAGAGTCCATTTTTGGTCAAATAGCAGGGCTCCACACTGTATTTGCAACCTTTTTTTTTGGGAGTGTGTGAATTGAGGAGCATGATGATCATTAAGCTGTATTGGTGTCGCTGTAACCGGCACAGGACGCTGCTGTGGAAAGTAGGACTTTTATAACTTTCGTGTACTGCAGTATTTACACTTAAAAATGAGGTCTTCTCATGAAAAACAGAGCGTTTTTCCACGTATAGAAAAGACTGCATGTAGAATACATGTAACTCGGTTTCATCTTGGACAAATCTGTCATGAGAACACCTTAGTTTATTATTTTTAAAGTCATTTTTGGTCACACATCTGTCTGGGCACGCTACAGCCACCAAGCAGCAGCTACAGCAGCCTGCTATGTGGGGTGTTTAGGGAGCATCAGTAAATCGTAGCGTCTATCGATAAGAAAGTGTTCAGAAAGTCATATGTTCTGTATGTGACCAGGTGGGAGGTGCAACAAAATGAGAAAGTGGGTCGTACTGGTGCTACCAGTGAAAAAGTTAGTCTGGAGCCCTGAATAGTGTTTTTTTATTATTTATGTTGTGTGTTTTGAGTTTGTACAGATCCTGTAAATATTGAAATTGCTTTTGAAATTTAGTTCTGATAAGTCTTGATAATGTTAAATTAGATTACGATTAACATTAATTTGCATTCCTGTAAATAGTAATGTCTGATGTTACTCATATTCTAATTTTAAAAAAAAGATAATTTGCAGACTGCGCCCCCCCCACCAAATATTTTCATCAGCCACCACTGGGTGCCACATAGAGTGTTTATGAACAATTTGAGGCAGGTGCATATGTACAAAACATGCTCAAGACACTTCTCATAGCATCATTTACAACCAAAGGCCTGAATTTGTATTTGATCTTAACTGTTGTTTTCCTTTCATTAGGTTCAAAACAGGCCAGATCAATGGTGACCTGCTCATCTACCATGTCCTCCTCACCCTCAAACCCTACTACGCTAAGCCCTACGAAATAGTAGTGGACTTGACACACGTTGGACCCAGCAATCGCTTCAAGACTGACTTCCTGTCTAAGTGGTTTGTGGTGTTTCCTGGCTTTGCGTATGAGAATGTGGCAGCTGTTTATGTCTACAACTGCAACACGTGGGTGAGGGAGTACACAAAGTACCATGAGCGACTACTAACAGGCCTGAAGGGCAGCAAAAGACTCCAATTCATCGACTCTCCAGCTAAGCTAGCCGAGCATGTTGAACCTGACCAACAGAAACTGCCTGCAGCCACGTTGACACTGGAGGAAGACCTTAAAGTGTTCCACAATGCCCTCAAGCTGGCCCACAAAGACACCAAGGTCTCAATCAAGGTGAGCTTACGGCCTGAGCAGTTACTCTTAAAGGTGCCTAATACTCTGACTGAAATAATTAGGTTAACAAAAAGGCCAGTGTAATCATTTGAAAAATTTAAGCAAGTCTTGGGTTTCCTGAAACAACATATGCTTTCTTGCTTAACAGGTGGGCTCAACAGCAGTTCAGGTGACCTCAGCTGAGCGAACCCGAGTCCTTGGCCAGCCTGTCTTTCTCAATGATGTCTACTATGCCTCAGAGATTGAGGAGATTTGCCTGGTGGATGAGAGTCAGTTTACCCTCACCATGGCCAACCAGGGCACACCACTCACTTTTATGCACCAGGAGTGTGATGCCATTGTCCAGTCCATCATCCATATCCGCACACGCTGGGAGTTGTCCCAGCCCGACTCCATCCCACAGCACACCAAGATCCGACCAAAAGATGTCCCCGGCACTCTGCTCAACATCGCTCTGCTCAACCTGGGCAGTTCTGACCCCAGCCTCAGGTCAGTCCTGCAGGGCATTTATTTATTTATTCATGATCATAATTTTTTGACTCAAAAAAGCACATTAGCATTACCAGCTTGATTTTTTATTTTATTTTTTTAAAATGTGGCCTCCAAAAGAAAAGACGGTCTGATCCTTGTTATCTGTGTTAAATTTTCTTGTATCATGTAGTATCACGATTTCCTTCAAATGAACTAAAAGGCTTAAACCAGAAAAAAAAAGAAAGACCCAGAAAAAAGAATGTTTGGCCGCACTTTACATTTAAAGGATCAAGGTTTTACACGCCTTGAACTTCAGTAATATGACAAGAGCCAAGTGGTTCAGATAGTTAAATCTCTGCAGTGTTCTGCAGACATACACGACTTCTTCAATCTTAAATTCAGCTTTTTGTAATTCAAGTAAAAAATGTTATTTACTTTGTCATTTACAAGAAGCTCTTATTTCTGCCCAAAAAGACGACTGAGAAATGACAACAGTTGAACACCCCGTTTTTATGCAACTCTTTCCAAGACCTATCACCTCTTACTTACTGTCCATCCCACATCCAGGTCTGCGGCTTACAATCTACTGTGTGCTTTGACCTGCACCTTCAACCTGAAGATAGAGGGCCAGCTGCTGGAGACGTCAGGACTCTGTATTCCAGCCAACAATACCCTCTTTATAGTCTCCATCAGCAAGACTCTGGCTGCCAACGAACCCCATCTGACGCTAGAGTTTCTAGAGGAGTGCATTTCAGGCTTCAGCAAGTCCAGTAAGTCTCCTTGCTGCTGGAAGCCATACACATGCTCTCACATGTACAGCTGTGACACAGTTGTACACTTTAGTACTACAAAATATTTAGCTTTTTCCAAAATGCCCAAACCTCTTCTCCTTACTGAAACGCCTACGTTTTGTTTGTACACATCTGCGTGTTTTTTCGCTGTTTTTTTTTTTCTAACATTTTATGTATGGTAAGCTTTTGGGCAAAAGATTTTCCTTATCGGTCATATCTATATATTCATATAACATCTATACATATATTCATGAAATAAAATGGTCATCAGCTCAGCTGGAAGAGACACTAGGCCCATCTCCCATTTTAGACCAGCACTGAGAATCAACAAGCCTTGATAGCAGCTGCTAGAGGCCCTGCTACAGTTTGAAAACAACTGAACCAAAGCAGCTTGGACCTGGTCTTGTATAGTGTCACCCTTAAACTTATGCGTTCCCTCTAAAGATAGCAAGCAAGTAGGTAAAAAGGCTGCATTGTGCAACACTGATCTGCAGTCAGTATAAGAAGAAAGAAACATTTTCTCTGAAAAGCCTCCTGATGTGTTCATAGTTAGACGTTCATACTAGACCATAGTTCTTACATGGTTATTTTGTGGTTTGTTTTGTTTGGTAGGATGCTCTCACTGCACTCACATTGGATGTGTGCAGCCTTAACTCAATGAAAAAGTAATGTGTTATATTTATTGTAATTTTTAGTACTTGGTTTGGAACCGTTTCATAACACAGGCCTTTGTGTTCTCCAAGCCTAAGCTAAGATAACCCTGGTTGGGTCTGAGGACATCACACAATTATTATATGTTTTAATTCCTATCACTGGCAGAGTGTGTACATCTCATTATGAGTGACCTGATCTTCAGCTGTCAGTTCCCCTTTAAGTAAAAATTAAGTTGCGATCGTGCTTCCTCCAGATTAAAAACAAAGCTTAGTTGCATATAAGTAAGATAATCTAGTTTAACGTCTAATGAACAGTTGTGCGTTGTATGATAAAGCAGGAGTCCTACGTGTTGTTGCTCTGTTGCAGGTATTGAGCTGAAGCATCTGTGCTTGGAGTACATGACACCCTGGCTGCTCAACTTGGTTCGCTTCTGTAAGCACAATGATGATGCCAAGCGCCAGCGTGTCACCGCCATTTTGGACAAACTCATTACCATGACAATCAATGAAAAGCAGATGTATCCCTCTATCCAGGCTAAGATCTGGGGCAGCCTAGGCCAGGTGAGTCGACCACTCCAACACCTGGATAAGCGTTTTGTTGATTTGAATTTGCAACATCTAATCTTCTCTTTGTGTTGTCAGATAACAGACCTGTTGGATGTGGTGTTGGACAGCTTTATTAAGACTAGTGCCACAGGAGGCCTGGGCTCCATTAAGGCAGAGGTCATGGCTGATACTGCAGTAGCTTTGGCTTCAGGGAATGTCAAACTGGTCTCTAACAAAGTGAGTCTTCACAGTGTGAGCAAATGCATGAGCTGAGCATGTACACTATGTTATCATGGACAGAGTTTGTTTATAGAAGGTGTTGATGTCGTGTTGAAGTCAAAAGGTCATGTTGATGCAACAATGTCTTAAGAGCATTCATCAACCGATGGTAGTATAGTTGATCTACTTTGTCAGAGGAGACGAGACATCTTGGCTTGCCTTTTATTCACTCAGTGAACAGAATGTGTTCGCGAGCAAACACTTGACAAATAGTGCAAGCATGTTATCGAACCAAATCCTTTGCATGGTCGTAGCACTGCATATTTGGTCTCCCTCCACATTAAACCTGGGCAAACCATACACATCTGTACTTGACTTAGGTCAGTTCTTCTTGATTTTGGTTCTTTCTACTTTACCTGTGGCGGCTAATTCCGGCTGAAATGCATTACCTTGTCCAAATCAGCTGATTCAATGAACCGTCCCACTTTCATTCTCTTTGAGACATTAGTTGTTTGTTTCTCACTACCACAAACCATCAAAACAACTGTTCCTTGTGGCCTGTTTCAATTTATTTTGTGTTGAATTTCCCTAAGCAGAGCACTTTCTGACGGTGTTTTGAAATATTTATTTGAAAGTTATTACATCAGCAGCAAGAAATTCACAGTACTTCTGTGTTGTCTTCTGTTCGTCAAATGTACTAAAGAGTAGTGGTTAAGCATAGAAAAGACAAAACCAACAACCAACTTGAACACATACACGCACGCACGCACACACACACACCCACACACACCCACCCACCCAACAGAGATGTAGTTGTTCATATCTTCAACTTGGGTGAAGGTGTAAAAGCTGAAAGTGTTCTACGGACTCGACAGTGTATTTAATTTAAAAAATGACATCTAAGTGTTCCAAGACAAAACTGATTGATTATAGCACTGATTTTACTTCATTCATTTTTATTATAATTGAGTTATAATGCAACAAAATAAATTAACTTTTGTTAGAGGTTAAGTTTCTGTGACAATCTAAAACTGATGTGAGAAATCAGCGTCAAAAGTAAAAATTACTTACATGGTAATGAAAGAAATAAATCCAAAGTTGTGAATCACTCCGGACTTAGAGTAGGCAAAGAAGCAAACTCATCCACTCACTATCCATCATCTATGTGCTCCAGATCCAAATTCAGCTTGCTACTCAGATAAACAAACACAACATACACAGGCAGACACAATAGAAAAGCCAGGCCCTGGCTCCTATTATGGCAGACACCAGCACTGCACTGAATAGTGGCCATTGTAAAGACTGTTGACTAAGAAAAGCCAGTCAGTGTTAAAGTTGTAGTGCCATTCCCCTTAGTGATTCAGGGTAGCTCAAGTGTTAGTGTAGAGTGTTGTACAGAAATTAAAATATCATATTGAAACCTGTACATTGCTATTGAACCATACATGAGTCTTTATGCTGATGTTTTCCACAGCGTTGCTGTCTGATGTCATGACAAGACAGCCATCTGAGCACAATAGAGCATTGTCTGCCGCTCTTGAACTCTTTGTCACCCGAGAGTTGAATAAATGCTGTTTTTTAACTGGTCAGAACCACAACCATATTGTCACATATATTAGCTCTGTATCCAAACAGAGGTGTACAGTGGTAGCCATGGATCTTCACTGTGCATGGCCTCATTTGTGACACATTTGTCAGGAAGGCTATACTGTCTTTACTTTATTGTTTACTAGGGCTCTGCAAACTAACCTGATCAAAACATACTTAAAGTTTTACGACAACTTCTACATGTGACAATATTAGAGCTATACAACTATTGGAGTTTGAGCAGTTATTTATAGCTATAGTGAAGCTACAGTAAGTCACACTATCAAGTTTACTTTAAACTAATTCTAGCTCAATTCTCAGACCTTGAGGCAGCCCAGTCTAAAAGCTTCCTTTTAGGGCTGAATTTGAGGTCATGGAAGGAATATGGAAAGATACAGCTGTTATAATCATTATTTTTGACTTATCAGCAGATCAAACTATAATTTAGAAGGGTTGCTTGTAGGGATCAAGCTACAAAGAATTATCATCACAGTCCCCACAGATCTGCTAAGCATTTTGGCTTCTTTGAGCCTCCACACTCTGCTCCACCAGCTGTGTTTTATACAGCAGCTTTTATTTTTGACTGAAAAAGCACTGTACACCACCTGCTGAGCAGTGAACTGCAGATAAACACTATATGAGACTAGCTGGTGAACATAGTAGAACTTTTAGCAGCTAACAAGCCAGATACTTCCCTTGGTAGATGGTAGACGCCGAAAAACTGAATGTAAAAGAATGTATATCTGATACAAACCACTCTTAATCAGTGTATGTACTTGAGGTGTAAATATGCAACTGATCCACAGATTCTTGATTGGGCTAAGCCAGGACTACATGGCCTTTACAAGTGTATGCAGACTTGAATTCACAGCTGTAGATGCGTTGTAGATGTACTGTATGAGATTTTTCTTCATAGCTGGCTACATACAGTGGAGCTCATTGATTCTGAGGAAAAGTCCTGTTTCACTTTTCTATCAGGCATCATACTATTACTAAACCCTTTGTGAGACCTTTGGCTTTTGACTGTAGTTTTTCATTGTCAGTCTTCTCTTTTTCTTTTGGACAGGTTATTGGTCGGATGTGTAAGATCATAGACAAGACTTGCCTTTCTCCAACGCCCACACTTGAGCAGCACCTGATGTGGGACGACATCGCAATCTTGGCCCGCTACATGCTGATGCTGTCCTTCAACAACTCCCTTGATGTTGCTGCCCACTTGCCATACTTGTTCCATGTGGTGACCCTGCTGGTAGCAACGGGGCCTCTGTCACTTAGGGCCTCCACCCATGGTTTGGTGATCAACATTATCCACTCCCTCTGCACCTGCTCACAGCTCAACTTCAGTGGTGAGGACGTATTTCAGCTGATTGTTTAAGATGAGACTTGTTTTGTTTTTTTTCTTTTAGGATTAGGCATTTATAAGCCTTTGTAATAAAGTAACATTACAGTCCATTGAAAATAGAAGAGCAGCCCTAAAGCTTCGAGTACCCAAACAAGAGTTTGCTTAGTAGTGGGGAGCACGCAAGCACTACAGTGAATATGCATGCAGGTCAAATATATACACCTTGTGTCTCACTAAATTAAATGTTTGATGGTGTGTTGAATGATTTCAGAGGAGACAAAGCAGGTTCTGAGGCTGAGTCTGACGGAGTTCTCCCTGCCCAAGTTCTATCTGCTGTTTGGCATCAGCAAAGTCAAGTCAGCTGCCGTCATTGCCTTTCGCTCTAGCTACAGAGATCGTTCGTTCTCACCGGGCTCCTATGAGAGAGAGACCTTCGCCCTGTCCTCCTTGGAGACGGTCACTGAGGCCTTACTGGAAATCATGGAGGTCAGAAGAGAAAGTCAGCCTTACCAAACAGTTGTTGTTGTCTTTCTCCTTTTCCTAGCCAATCTTTTTTTTTTCCCATATGGAAGACCCACGTCAGTCAGAGTTTTGAGATCTGCCAGAAAAATGTTGCACAAATAAAAATGTCTGTATTCGATGATAATGTCTATTATAGTATGTTCATATTGTTAAATGTTGATTGATTGATTTGATTGTGAAACATAACAATGAATGAAGTAACATCAGTCTGTAATGTGACAAGCAATTCTTGATCATCATCTAAAACTATTAGCTGCAACATAAATAGCTGATTAGGAATTTTTCTTGTGTGGCAGCCAGCCTGTTTAGGGTTTGGGGTTCTTTGTTTCCCACAACTTATTTGATGCCCAATCTGTCAAGATGAAAACACCTCGCACAACTTGGATTGATGCTCACACTGGGCTATACTTCATTTTCTGCATTCACAATCTCTGTTTGCTCTGTGTTGTCTTTGCTTCAGGCTTGTATGAGGGACATCCCAACCTGCAAGTGGTTAGACCAGTGGACAGAGCTTGCACAGAAGTATGAGCCTTTTCCTTCTTATTTGAATGCATTCATGCTGACAACATGGAGGTGAAGAGTGGGACATATGTGTTTGTTTGTTTGGATTCTAGGTTTGCATTCCAGTACAACCCATCTCTCCAACCCAGAGCGCTGGTGGTGTTTGGCTGCATCAGCAAAAGAGTGAGCCACAGTCAGATCAAGCAGATCATCCGAATCCTCAGCAAGGCCAGCCCTCTGCTCAGCATAGACCGGGTGAGAGCATTCATTCCATTACTCTGCCCTGTCTGTCAGAGCTGTGCTCTGACCTATGAACATGACACTTACTTCAGTCCATTAAACAGGAATAGATGCGGCAAGTACGCTACACATGTCCACCAAGCTCGTGCTATTGTTGAGTTAGGCTACTTCACCGATTAATTTCTTTCTCACCTCAGCACCAGCTTTGACATCAGTATTGCCAAATTTTAGTGACCTTGAAGCTGTTAATCCATCTTTTGCTACGCTTCATAGATGTTTAGCAATTGATTTATTCATCAGCAATCCAACGGGAGCATTAAAATCCAGGCACTGCAGAGGATTTTACGTTCAATGTTAGCGCTCATTGCTCTTGTACAGTTGTATTACGAATCAATATAGATTATCTTCTTTTTTTTCTTTTTTTTTTTAAGGCAACCAGATTTGAAAGTTGATTAATGTTCATTTAAAAATGAGAGCTTATTGAATTTATGACCATTTTTTGTTGTTTTTTTTTTACTTGGTTTAAAACACCCAAAGACCAGTATTTCAGAAAAGTACCTATTCCCTAACTGTGGGAGTGGAGTATACAGTACAAGACCTCCTATATAATGATGTATTTAATATGTAACCGATAATCCTTTGCTTCATTAATTTTGTATCAATCAGTGAATAATGAAAATCCTAATTTGCAGTCGACACAGAGCTGAAAGATGACTGCATAGTTTTGTTGTTACAAGAAACCTGTTCAACTTTCCACAGACATTTGATTTAACATTACTTTTGAAAATATGTAGCTGATGCAGGTTTCAGGAAGGGCCCTTCAGATTTTTACTGGGAAAAGCTGAACTTCTGAGGTGTGGACAGTATGTTCATGAACATCACTATAAAATAGTAAAAACATTGGTTGGTTGACAATACACTTTAGTGTGTCAGAAGGTTGTCACACAATTTTCTTTTTTTTATTTTGATTAAAGATTTGCATCACATAACTGTGTTGTTGTTGTTCACAGCTAATCAGCTGTGAATGCTGTTAAAATCTCTTTTTTTCTACTCAGCATTTCCTTTTGGAATGTTATGTAATAAAGTTCTATAAAATGTGTTCCTGTCCTTCCCATCCCTCCTCTCTGTCACTTCCTCCCTCCCTCTTGCTCCTGTCCATCTCCTATCATCACAGGGTCTGGAGAGCTGCCTGAAGGGGCCAGACAATTATAACAGCCAAGTATTAATAGAGGCCACAGTCATTGCTCTCACCAAGCTGCAGCCACTTCTTAGCAAGGTATGCAACCACTGGAAACCCACATCCAGCCACAGAATGCTCCCAATCATTATCCACTAAAGTGCACCCTCTGACTTCCTTTTTTTTTTTTTTTTACCTCACCTACAGCTGTTTTTTGTAGTCAGACTAGGGTTTGCTCTATTTGTTAAGGTTTCACTTTTTTTTTCAAATGATCAGGCTAAGGTCTCAAGTTTTTTTATTTGAAACATTTGCCTATTGTATGAGTTTGAGTAAGAGTTAGTAACTCCCTGTAACTCAGATCACTGCAGAGTGTTACTAAGTAGTTCAGTAGTGTCATGTTTACAATTTAGTATTTATGTTGTTTACAATAGCAGCACAACCCTTCTCTTTTGTTTTTCACTGGTTAATTCTTGTCCAAATGAACCCACTCTGTGTGTGTGTTTGTAGGAGTCTCCGATGCACAAAGCTCTGTTTTGGGTGGCAGTAGCTGTCCTGCAGCTGGATGAAGTGAACTTGTATTCTGCTGGAACCGCCCTACTGGAGCAGAATCTCCACACTCTGGACTCAATGCGCATCTTCAATGACAAGGTAAAATTCAATACATAATAGAAAAGCACGGATCCCTTCTCCCCCCAATCCACATGGTTTAAAGTTATTTGAACTAAAGGCTGCTACTCTTGTCATACAGTCGTGAACAAAACTTTACAAGACCATATATATCATAGCAGTCTTTGAGTTTCTATTGACTCGTACAACTCTTAATTTTCTATGTTGGAATGATTGAAACACATGTATACCATCATGCACAAAAAGACAATCATGCATTTTGCTTCTTTCATAAATTTATTATAGGTCTTCTGGAAATATGACACAATCTGCTGTGTCAAAAATATACATACAGCAATTCTAATATTTGGTTGAATGTCCTTTGGCCATATTCACCTCAATTAGGTGCTTTTAGTAGCCATCCACAAGCTTCTGGCCAACTGCTGGTTGTATCTTTGACCACTCCTCTTGACAGAATTGGTGCTGTTAATCTAAATTTATTGGCTCTCTGAAACAAACTTGTTTTTTTAGCATAGTCCATAGGATCTCGATGGGGTTTAAGTCAGGACTTTGGGGAGACCATTCTAAAACCTTAATTGTGGCCTGATTTAGCCATTTTTTACCACTTTGGATGTGTATTTGGGGTCATTCCCTTGTTGGTCTCTTTTCTTTGTCCATGTGTTCACCAACAAACTTTAGTCAAACTTGAAGGCGCCACTTTTAGAGGAAGGGCTTCCTTCTTGCAAGGTAGCCTGTAATCTCCACTTGACTTGGGACACCTACACTTGTTTTCTAGCAGCTTGTAAATCATTCTCTTTTTGTGAGTCTTGGTTGACTCTTGACTGTCCTAACCATTTGTCTCTCTGCAGCAGGTGAAAGCGTGCTTTTTTTCCCTGATCGTGAAGTGTACCATGCACTTTATACTTAGAAACAATTGTTTGCACAGTTGATTTAGGGATCTAAAGCATCTTTAAAATGGCTTTCCTGACTTTTTCACGTAAATGATTTGATTCAGAGCTGTGCTAAGCTCCTCAGACTTTCCCATTGTAGTGTTTCTGGGAGAGTCTTAATTAGTGTATCTAATGGGCCGTATTTACATTGGCTCAGAGGAGTCTGGAGCTGTCGATTATGATCACTCACAGAAACTTAAGAGGTCATGCCACAAAGAAAATTTGATTAACAGCTTTCTACATCACCAAAAATGATAATGCTAGTTGCTTTATATATATATTTGACTCCGCAGATTTTGTCATATTTCCAAAAGACTTATATTAAATCTATGGTAGAACTGAAATGCATGTGTTTCCATCATTCCACCATAGAAAATATACAGTTGTAGGATTCAGGACATACACAGTCTTTACAAGTGTGTGTAAACTTTTGTTGACAATTGTTTGTTGGAGAGGCTAGTCATTATCAAAGAGACGAAATGAAAGGCTGATCAGGTTCCATCTTTACAAATGGTAAAGCACGGATGCATGGAAATACTGGGATTGCAGAATGTGATTGCAAACAAGCTTGTTTATTGTCATGGTCTTAAGTAACCAGGTCACAGCAGCGCATGTAAAAATTTTAAACAATCTAGTTTTTCTTACCAGGTTACTCTGAGGAAATAGGTTTCAGAAATACTTGTAAACACAGTCACTGAAAAGACTTCCATAATGCTATCTACCACTCCACACAACCCTCTACCTTTTGGCAGTTCTTCAACTTTTGTCAGGGAAAGTCTGACATCTTCAATAATTTAAATCTGGAGTCCAGAGACCTTAGTTTTAGTACTTAGCACTAGATATGCCACAAGCTCTGGCAAGCTTTTGAAGTGTAGAGTTGCTTTGAGGTAAAAAAAATAAATAAATAAAAAACAAAAAACTGCCACCTGAATCATCTTCTCTAGCTGTATGAGGACTGTATATTTTTGAATAAAGAAAACAAAACACACACTGAACACGACGTTACTTCAGAAGCACTGACTTATTAAGTACATGAACAGACCTACTAATATGTGCAGAAGGTGGATTATGCATAGCTATTGACAGAAAAGGGTTTCAATAAAGATTACGTAACAAAATAGAACCTCCCCTGCCCCTCATCTGCTATAATTTCCTCTGCCAGAGTCCAGAAGAAGTGTTCATGGAGATCAGACGTCCCTTGGAATGGCACTGTAAGCAGATGGATCATTTTGTGGGCCTCAACTTTAGTGCCAATTTCAACTTTGCACTGGTGGGCCACCTACTCAAAGGTAAACCAGTGTGTGGTGTTTGTTGAATCATTGTATGTACATGTTTATATCAGGCACTTATACAGAAAAACACAGGTACCATGTGTAAAAACTGTTATTTGGAACAGAGTTTTGTCGGTGGCTGTCTTCATCTCTTCATCTCCAAATGTCTGTTGCTCATGTCTCTACAGGCTACAGACACCCATCACCTACCACAGTAGCGAGAACAGTTAGAATCCTGCACACACTGTTGACCCTCATCAGCAAGCATCTGAAATGTGACAAGTTTGAGGTCAACACCCAGAGTGTGGCCTACTTGGCTGGTATGTAACACACGCCCTGTTATTCTTATTCTGCCATAAATAACCTCAAATGTACATTTCAGCACTACATCAGAAATCCCTGATAGGTAATGAAATCCTGGTCATCTTTAAAGTCATTATGACATAACTACAGAAAAAGACGGAGCAGAGAAAGGTTTAGCATCATTAAAACTTTTCTGTTGGTATGCAGACTTTGACTTCATGAAAAAACTTGAATGTTGCATGTGCAAATTTGAGGTCCTGAGTTAGTTTTTGTAACAGTTACTTTGTCAGAAAGTGGAGGGCCTTTACTGAACAAACAAACGAACAAATGTGTGACGCGTTAACCCTTGTTGACGTGCTGGTTTGGTTGGTCTGGGTTCCCCCTGCTGTTGGTGATAACCATCATTATCATCTTCTCATTTATCTGTGCAGCACTGCTCACTGTATCTGAGGAGGTTCGGAGTCGCTGCAGCCTCAAACACAGAAAGTCTCTACTGATTTCTGACCTTAACATGGACCCAGTGCCCATGGAGACCTACTCCAGTCACATCACTGATCCCACCTGCAGGTGAGCTGATGAACAGAGGGGCAAAACCAAGGGTGATGTTTTCTGATCCTTCCACACCACATGTAGGCGCTGTTCTTAAAAGTTAACATGCTTACAAGCTCACTCACTTTAAGATGCAGACTTTTTCAGTGAAATTGTATTTTTTTAGTACAAAGTTTGACCTCTGATCACTTGAAATGGTCAGTTTAGGTAAAAACCACGTCTCAGCACATAGCTGCTCTTAGTGGGGCACATTCAGCTCTTTTGCCATTTCTGTTTAGAATTTATAAATAAAACTCAGAAAAAATTTCCAGTATGTCAAACATGACCTTGATATGTATCCCCTATTCTCTGGAACAATGTACATCCTTCATCTGTACCTTTTATTCCATCTGTGGTCTTTGTATAGTTATTGGTAGTTTGCAAATCTCAGACGACCTATATTGGTGTCATGATGTGCAATTAGTTGGGTTAACTTTTTCCTGTGTACCACCACATCTTTTTCTCTCCTGTCCAAATAAACTTGACACCAGAATATCAATAGAGCTGTCTGTTCCCCTGTCTAAATAAAAATTAGGTTGATAGGCTTAAATGATCTTATCAACAGCTTCTGCTCAAGGACAGGGGGCTGGCTGTTGCAAAAATGTAATAAAACCGAACTGCAAGTTAGGCTTTATTGGGCTCTCATTAAATAAATATGAAAGGCTTTTTTTTTTTTTTTTTTTTTTAATTAAATTTTAACCAAAACAAATAATGACATTCCTATCAGCCTTAGTTCTTGTTTTAGGTTTCTACTCATTAGCAAATGCTAGCATGCTAACAAGCTGAACTACGATGGTGAACATGGTAATTATTCCCTCGTTGCATAAGGATTTCACTGAGAGCATGTTTGAACACTGAAACTCTTTTTCAATTATCTGTCTGTCTGTCTGTCTGTCTGTCTGTCTGTATACAACATGGAAGTATGGATATGGTAACACAGCCATAGTTTAGTTTGTAACATCCATTGTGCAGGCTCTGAGTTTTAAATCATTCATGACTTCTTAACCTTCTACCTAAACTTAAGCCACTCATCATCTTCTCAGAACTCTGCAAGAAACTCAGCCGTGGACGTCACCTCAGGTTTCAGATCGCTACCTTTCAGCCCATCACTACCCCACAATGGGCCAGATCAGCCCACGAACACGCAAGTCCATGAGCCTGGACATGGGCCAGCCCTCACAGGCCAACACTAAGAAGCTCTTGGGTATGAATTATCCTGTAGCTGTCTACATAGGAACAATATCAAAGTGAAATCCACGTTAAATCTCCTGGTTGCAAATGTATGTGTTGTGTTTGTGTTTTTTCCAGGCACCAGGAAGAGCTTTGATCATCTCATATCAGACTCCAAAGCACCAAAGAGACCAGAGATGGAGTCTGGTATGACTACGCCTCCCAAGATGAGGCGTGTAGCAGAGAATGACTATGAGATAGGTGAGGATGGAAGACAGAGTACCAATGCGGGCATCTATGCCTGACATGATTCAAAAGTTTGTTTTATTTAATTAAATGTAATACGTCGCCGTTATGATTGCAGAAACACAAAGAATTGGAAACTCTCACCTTCGCAAGGTGTCTGTATCAGAATCCAATGTTCTGCTGGACGAGGAGGTGCTCACTGACCCAAAGATCCAGGCTCTGCTGCTCACTGTGCTGGTGAGAAAACACACCACATAGTTGTGAAGTCGGCTTCACTCGCTGTCACTTTTAGTCACCTTGTCAATAAATTTGTGTAACAGACTTCTTCTGTGTTCCAGGCCACCCAGGTCAAATACACCACTGATGATTTTGACCAGAGGATTCTGTATGAGTACTTAGCTGAAGCTAGCGTCGTCTTCCCAAAGGTTTTCCCAGTCGTGTAAGTAACAAACATGTTGCCTTTATCTTTATTGGCTTGCATTCTGAATTTTACCTTTTTTATAAGTTTCTTGTCTTATCTAGAAATACTAAGCGTTGAAATTCTCCAGAAGTGTAATGTTGAGGTTTTTTTTGGGACTGAGATCCAACTTTGGATGCAAGTAGAAATGTGTACAGTCTAACTGTGTGTTTGAGCGGATCGAAATGAGCTGCCTGTCAGTTTTGATGACATGGCTGCTCAGATAATGCTGCTGCCAGTGGACCTGTCTTTTTGAGTCTGTTCTGGTCAAGCACAGTTTGAATCAGGACCAATAATCTTGGTCTGTGTTTGAACCTTGTAAGATTCTCTGCAGCATTAGGCCAAGATTCATTTTGCTCTTAGATTGCTCTTACATGTTGTACAAAAATAACATTAGCCACCCGCCCTCCGGGCTAACTCTGAACAAGTTGTTTCTTATTGGCTAGCGAAGCACAACGATATCAGTTTGTCAGTGCTGTCAGCAGATAAAGGCTTTTGTAATGAACCATCTGCGTCGGCCCAAAATGAATGAAAATGAGGCTATTGCTAAGATTGTGTCAGGCAGAGTAGCATCCAAACCTGTTAAAGTAGGTTGAACTGTTCTGTTTTGAAAATGATACCTAAAAAAAAAAATTTAAATGGTGGCGGGGCATTATTTACTTTTTGTTGTTTAACTGTTATGGAGCGAATACTTACAAGTGAAAGAGTTTTTAGAGAGGGTAGTAAGTAACTGGCTTTAAGGACATTGTCAGTCATGGCCCGACTGACAAATTTGTAGAAGCAGTGAGTCCTGACACGTAAATGTGTTCTCTGCTACAGGTCTGCACTGTTTGTCTTTTTGACGCTGTTTGCTGTATTTTCTCAGTGAAATGTCCTATAACTGAATTTTTCCATTCACCTGTAAAGACCTCTAAGTGTAATTCAAACACTAAGGAGAAAAAATGGCAAAGGAGGGGCTGTCCAAAAGCCAACAACAGGAGACATTTTATGAGTCTTAGTTTGATGGATTTCCTGTGAGTCTGCAAACTGGTGTTAACAAATATAACCCTGCCGTTTGTACGTCACCATGGTTTTCTCTCTTCAGACTCTTGAGATGTAAGGTGAACCTTAGGTTTAACTGCTGATCAACCACAGTGTCTATGTATAAAAATATTTGTACCCTTAGAAAAATGTGAGGTGTAATTTGATCAAAGCCACAGTACAAGCTGTCAGCTTGTGTCAATGCATTTACATAGAGTGCAATGTGCCTTTTATAGAGGTTTCACAATAGGTGTCTGTGTGTATGTCTCCTCCTCAGCCACAATCTGCTGGACTCCAAGATCAACACTGTGCTGTCCATGTGCCAGGACACCAACCTCCTAAACCCTGTCCACGGCATTGTCCAGAGTGTGGTGTACCATGAGGAGTCGCCCCCCCAGTACCAGCCGTCTTATTTACAAAGTAATGCGTATTGATATTTTCACTTTGTACAGGCTTAATGTGTTAATTTCTCTCGTTATCTTTTTGGAACTAAACATGTTGCCTAAAACAGGATGTGTCCTAAAGCTGGGACAGTTCATTTGAAAAGGATACCAGCTTTGAGCTTTTGTAAGGAAGCATTTTCAAAGGTAGAGGGAAGACCTCTGCATTCTATTCTACCTTTCCTCATCTCTTGCCTTCACTCTCTCCTTGTCATTTCACAGGCTTTGGCTTTAATGGACTTTGGAGGTTTGCTGGACCCTTCTCTAAGGTATAAATGATGTTTCATCCTGCCATTTTATCATTTCTTCTGAGGCAGCTTTTGCAGGAGAAATTCCGCTTACTAAGCAATTACAAAACAGTTCTGCAACCCGCCTGCCAATTGGTTTGGTGATATATGAAGCATCAGCCTCTCACAAGCACACACACACACACACACACACACACACACACACACCCACACCCACACACACACACACACAGCAGTAGTAGAGAGGCTGGAGATCATTTGTAGTCTCATGTAATACTAAATTGTGCAGCTGCTCAACAACATAGAAACCCGGTAAGTAGACAGTTAATGTTACAGAATGAACTATTGTCACATAGAAAGTTATGGGGACCCACCTTTCATCAACTCTGCGCTGTCGAATATTATGCTCAAAGACCGAGCATGTGTATTGTGATTTCCCCTCAGAGCACTGGACATTAAAAAAGTGGGGTTATCCCCAAAACCAGACCTGTCCCATTGAACAATTTAAACAGCATTTTAAATCAGTTCTATTCAGGCACTTTATAGGGGAACCAGTTAATGTAATTTCCAGCTCTATATTTTATTCTTCAGTTTAAAAAAATATATATCTTATTTATCTTATACTGACCCTTTATGCCATTTTTCAGTTGATCCACTCTCTTAAATAAGCTAGCTGTTGTCTCTAGTTTAGATTGCAGAGAAAAGCATTCAAAGCAATTCTCTGCTGTCTAAACTACTAAAAATGTGGACTGAACAAGATTTTGTCTTACTGCAAATTGGAAGCTGCTCTTTCAGCTAAAAGTTCTAATTTGTTCTAAATTCTTTTTACAAGGTCATTAGTGTGAATGTTGAAAGTGGATATTTCATCAGATCATCACAAAATGTGTATTTTAAAATAGGTACAAGAATATATAGATTTTTCCTGTATCATTTATGATCCTTGTAGTTGTGCATCTAGTAGTTTTAGGGTAGTTTTTGTGACCACAATCAAGATACATCTACAGTAATGAAAAAAGATTAGTTTGAATGACACATGGTGAATTAAGTTATGTTTTCATGTAATTCATGTAGAAAATGTGCAGCAAGGCTTTTTGTGGTGTTTGGACACAGTGTTTATACATTATTTAGTAGGTTACTAAGTGATGACATATCAGATAATTACCAGTGTTAACCCAGTCAGCACTGTTGTAAGACTCTATTAACAGCCATTAGTGTAACATCTTCTCTGTCTCCTCCCCACACACCTGTGAACTGCACAGCAAACCCAGATACCAGACTACGCCGAGCTGATTGTCAAGTTTCTGGAGGCTTTGATTGACAGCTACCTGCCAGCTGCTGATGAGGAGCGAGGAGAGGAGCAGCTGAGGACACCCACCTCCCCGTACCCGCCAACAAGCCAGAGCCAGCTGAGCATCACTGCCAACCTCAACCTGTCCAACTCCATGACCTCACTGGCCACTTCACAGCACTCACCAGGTCTCACTCTCTCACACACACTCACCATCACTGACTCTACATGGACGACATAGAAATGAGCCACTCTGCAGAATATTTCCTCTCATGCCCCCCCGTTCTCTGGTCTACTTAACTTTTTGATTACTGAACATTGTCAAGTTCAAATTTAAAATCTATCAGTGATTGAAGTCACGCTCTAGGACTTGTAAAGCATTTCCCAGACAGCGAAATTCACACTGTTGTCTTTAATACTGTGATATAATGTTTTTTAATAGATGGAAGCTCCTTGAGCCATGATGCTTGGGTTGCAAAACTGCACTCAGAGTCCAGAAATGCAGAGGGGGGTTATCAGGTCACCTGCTTATGCTACAGCACCCCCTGTTGTTTGATTAGTGACATGTCAGATATACTGTTAAAGGTTAAATATTTGAGAGTTTGTAATAAGGGCTTATGTAAAATCAAGTGTGACAGCAGAGCATTCTCATGGAATGTTTGCACAAGTTTAAAAGCCTTTCAGACTGAAGAGAAATCAGCAGCTATCACAGAATCAACAGAATGAGAAGTTATTTTAAAGGAAATAAGTTTCAATCGTCTATCTATCCTTGGAGGGTCATCAAAGCAGCTGTTCTGTGACAGAAATAAAGAGGAAATAGGTTAGGCTAAATAAAGTTAAGGCCATTTCATGGTTGTGGATTTAAAAAGCAGTTGAGAATAGAATAGAATAGAATAGAATAGAATAGAATAGAATAGAACTTTATTGATCCCTTCGGTGGAGCATGGTTCCATTCATACTAGATTACAGGGTTTGTGTCAGCCTGCCATCCAGGCATTTGCATTTCCCCTAATATTAAACACAAAAACACATCAGAGCTCCTCTGAATGTTTCTGAAAGTCTTTTACAGTATAAAGCAGTTAGTTCCAGATTGAACTGTAGCACCATGGCAATGATTTGGAACTTTCCAATGTGTTTTGGAACTGTTGATGTACGCCATGTACAAAACGCAATGTCTTCAGAGGTCCTCGTGATGTGAATTTTGTCATCTACCAAAGTTCGCAAGAGACTGCACTGCAAGTGCACTTACTAATTAAGGCTTGCTTTAATTTGTACATGCTTTACATTGATAGAGCTCAAACACAGTGGGAAGAAATCCTGTACCGTGTACACCCACTCTGCTTGGTCTCAGAAACAATCTTTGATACAGTGCAACAGTCCAAACTGTAACCAGCTGCTATGTCCCATAAAATGTGCAAACGTCCACAGCATAGCTGTTTTTCTGTCATCATTGTGAGGGAAATGCTCCCGTCTGATAGCAGACGGATGCCTATCCCATAATGTAGTGTTAATGGAACCACATGCACGTCTGCTGTCTGTGCTAGGAGTCCAGATTGATAGAATAGAATAGAATAGAATAGAATAGAATAGAATAGAATAAAACTTTATTGATCCCTTTGGTGTAAACCTCAGGGAAATTGTTGTACTAGAAAAACAACACAACACCAACACAACATCAGCAACAACAGTAACAACAACAATAGTAATAATAATAATAACACTGGATACAGTAACAAAATTTGCCAAAGTGCCTAAATATTGCACACAGTCTGGTGATAGAGCATGATGCTCTATCTCACCCCAGTGTCCTCACTCCTCACCCCTTGCTTCCTACCTCTCCCCGCTTGCTGCTCCTCCCCCTCCCCCCGAGCTCAGAGTTGAACAGTTTGATGGCTCGGGGGACAAAGGAGTTTTTGTTCCTGTTGGTTTGATCAGGGATGTGACGTCATACTTTGTGTTGTGAAGCTCTACCTTAGTCTTCATATGTATGAAAAAACTGCACTTAATGGGCATACAAGGCAAAGGTCAAGTGATTGACAGAGCAGCAGTTGGCTCCTGATTTTCCACATTATACTCTGCAGCAAAAAAAGAGCAGATCAAAACATCGCTATTGTGGATGTTCATTTCTAATGTCACTTTGTATGAGGGTGAAGTTGAGGTTGACTCAGTGGGAAATCATAGCATTAGAGGAAAGTCACAAGAAATTTTAGAGTTAGATTTTTGCTTGTGTTTTTTAGTGGTTAAGCAGATCGTGTATAATGTCCTTGCTCTTGTTTCAGTAAACACAGGATAAACTGGATTGTTTTATTGTAGTGTGTTGTCTGTCCTCCAGGTGTGGATAAGGAGAATGTCCAACTGTCCCCCAGCTCTGCTCTGTCCAGTGGATGTCGCACTCGCCACGGTTCAGCCAGTCAGGTCCAGAAGCAGCGCAGTGCCGGCAGCTTCAAGAGACCCAGCATTAAGAAGATTGTCTGATTTGCCAGAGAATACCACCCCCCAACACACCCTCATCCACCTCCTCCTCCTGTCTGCCCCTTCCCAGGTCTGCCAGCCTGCTAGACCTCATGCTGAACTTCACATTTACTCTTTATTTCCTCTTCCTTCTTAATGGTTGTTGCATTGGCAGAACAAGCGATTTTGTGTTTTCGTCGAGGAGGACAATTAATAAGCGTAAACTTGAATTGGGCTGCTTGAGATTTTTTTTCAAATCTTTCCTTTTCAACAGCGCGCAGTCTTGGAGAACTTTCTGTAGAACCATTTCTGTTCTCCACTGGAGTCAATGTTAAAGCTCTTCACAGAAGGAAAGGCATTCAGCAGCAGTGTGAGTCTCCTGCGTTGAGGGAGGTCACTCGTGAAACTGCAAAAAAGGCTGATAGGAAAAGTGTGGCTGAGTTTGGATGTGGACCGTTTACACAGAGACGGTCCAGACAGGGAATTCTAACTTTAGGATGAAGTTTGATCTGCAGCTCGTCCTCTGGCCTTCCCCCTAACTGAACACTCCTGTGTCAGTGAGATGGACCAAATGACAGCAGTGGGGGCAGGGGGGTGGATCTGTGAGACAGGGCCTTCACTCTGGACCTGCTTGGACATGTCAGCTCCCCTCTCCTAGTCCTGTATATATTTTACATAGACAGATTATGTATAACTAGTCCTTAGTGCAAATTTAGATGTTGACGTTTTCTCCATGGTGTGCCTTTGTCAGGGGTTTTCAATTTGTACAGTTTGTAAAGTAAAAATCAGTCCTTGCTGGGGACAAATAACAGGTACTAATTATGGAGGCAAGCCGTCCATATCACCACAAGTTCACCCGAGCTGCATCACGACCGGCCTCCAGTGATCGTCAAATATACAATCATCCATATACCCCTTTGCCTGAAAGTATTTATCCTGTACAACTAGATAGTGCTACACCAAGCTTCTTCTGTTCAAACACTTTCCAAAAATCATCTTCTTTTCGAACACTTTGAACACAAATATTGCAAAACACTAGGGAAAATGCAACTGTGTAAATAGCTGCAAGCTTTTTGGTTGGTTTGTTTTTTGTGCTTTTATTTAGCCTTTTTGTTATTTTTATTCTGAACTGTATTTCCAGCCGCGTACCATTTTAATTTGTTTTCACAGTGACAAGGAAAATTGTGTAATAGGCAATAATCCTCAGTTCTCCAACTCCTTTGTCCACCACCAATTTTATTTGTATGTAAACAGCAAGAACACATCACTCTGTCAGCTCAGTGCAATATGATGCCAACCTCCTGAGTTGCCTGTTAGCATAGAGATTTAACTCTGATGTGGACTTGAGTTATGGATTACCTCCAATGATCATCTCAATGGAAAAAGAGGCAGTGGACAGTGTAATGTTTGATCCAATCGCATAAACACACACAAACACACAGAGATCTCCATTGGTTTCACCTCATCACTCTGAGTTGGACCCAGGATCACAAGAGGTTTGTTCTGTTGTCCCTTGAAAGGGGAAAAAAAGAAGCTTTGACACTGACTGTTAGGGCTACTTATTACTGGACATTTCACAGAAGAGGTGACAATACTATTCTGTTCATGTCATAGTGTATATAAAGATGACCGACATCAGGTGTCACCCCTTCCTTCCAACTGTATAAAAGTGAAGCCAAAATATCTCTTAAATGGGTGCTGCCCTCTTTGTTCCACCTCCTGCCTTGCCCAAATGCTAGTATACACCCCTTAAACTTAATGTAACCCAGCAGTCATCATCCTGACTGTCGTGGACTGTTGTGGACGCTCCCTGCACACTTACCATTTTCTGGATTACAATGATTAGTAACTGCTAGCTGGCTAGCTGCATATCAACTACTTTTTTTCCCCATAGATTGGTTGTGCTCGTAGCTTAGACATGTTCTTGAGGTTCCGCCTCCTGCCCAGCCCTCCATACCGAGGCTCCACCGCTAGTCACTACTGCATGCACTGTGGTTGCAAATGACAGACCCATCGATGATGTTTTGGCTTCACTTCCGGGGAGCTGTCATGTCGTTCATCTTAATACAGTTTGTGGTTCATATCAATACCAAAGCATGCTGTTTTACACATTCTTCTTTTTGAACAGGAAAACATTTGCTACAAAACATTTCACAACACAAAGTAATTAGAGCCTTTGCAGTCAAAACTGTGAGCAGTTTACTGCAGGTCACAGTGCAGAGTCTGTGAGCTGTGGTTGGAGTAAACTTTCCCACTTAGAACAAACTAAACTTCTCAAACACTTTAGTGTTGGATTTTGTCTGGGCGCATTCAGTCAAAAACTTTTTTTTTTTCTCTGATCAGAAAATATGTTGTCAAAACAGTTGCTAAGAAACTGACCAAATGTTTGGGGACAGCCGTCAGTACTGACTCTGTTTGGGGGTATTCTCTGACTCCAACACAACACAGTGTGGCAGGTTTTCCAGCATGTCAGCAATTTAGTAAAATAATTGGAACTATTTTACAAATCTCCAGATACTGTAAAGCTTTAGTGTAACACCATCATACAGAACACAGGATCTTGGTCACTCCACTCATCAAGCTCAAGTAGCCTGAGGGGATTTCTCACTTCAAAAGCATGAGACTGTGGATTTTAACTTTAAGAGATGTAGTAATCTAGCTGTGTAACTTTGAACCAACCCCTCTGTGCTGTCATAGCACATCCGTGAGCTTGCTCTGCACTGCTTTTATACACATATTCTGCACACACACCTAGAAAATGGTCTCAAAGCTTTTTGTTTCCTCTCATTTATTACACTTCAACTCTGCATCACTGCTGGCTGTTTTCCAACATGTGCTGTAGTGTTTGAGATCATCAGTTGTGTTTTTTACTTTCCAAGCAGCCGCTGGTTTCCATTTACTTTGCTGTGTTAAGCTTTGAGGGAGTTGAAAGTTGCGTAAAGAAGCTAGGTGAACATGTCTGTAAGTGTCTTCTTATATCTCTGTGTGGTAAAACAATGCACAGCGACAAAAAAAAATAGCCTTACAACCCAACATGTACATCTGCATGACCAACACGTCATTTGATGCTCAGTCATCACAGATGCATCACTATGTCTTTGTCAGTAGCAAAATATTAGGTTTATTGTCCTAAATAGTGTCTCCATTAGTTTGACCAGCAGAGAATACTTTATTTCTACACTGCAATACACCACACCCTACCACCAGTAAAGTTAGATTAAAAATGTTTGTTAAACGTGCTGGATAATGCATCATTACTTTAAATTTTCAAACACTAGTAACAGTTTAATCTTGCTCAGGATCATACATTACTGCATCACAGTAATGCCCCTTTGGCAGTGCAGTCAGCGTGTGATGGATTAATACACTCAATCATGATTCATCTGCCTGCAGGTTGATTTGAATGTTTGAACCAGTGGCTATGTGAAGGGTAGAGACACTGACTGATCAGAAACACTATGTGCTTCTTTGGAAGTGGTCACAGGATTTGTAGTGACTAAGTTATTACATACAGACACTCTGGTCTGGACCTGCTGACTAGTTACTATGATTGTTGGTATGAGCAGGTGGGACATGAGACGGGGGTCCACTCGCAGCCACAGTCCACAGCTTAGCCCAGGTTATTCCGTTAAAATGCTTCAATCCTGCCTTAACATCTATGCATGAAAAGAGTTGAGTATTGTTGTACAACTCTGACTTCACTTTTGTCTGAGCAGCATCTCCACACATCTGTTCTGCTCAGTGTCAGACGTTTCTTTTACGTGTTCATGTCATCGTATGGGTACATTTGTTCACTACAGATATTTTTTCTTGTATTTAGTTGTCTGACAAAATGTACTATATTCTTCTGTCTGCAGTTTCTTTAGTCACTACATGATCATTAGATTAATGCTACGGAAAGGGACATTTACAGTAGACACAGCTTTAGGGATTTATTTTGATAATTCAACCTGAAAACGACAGAAAGGGAAGAATGAGTATAATACATATAAGATTGATAATGGAGTTCACTGTCCAGTCTAACACATGGAAAAAGTCCATCAGAAACTTGACTTCTTCTGTTGCCCTCCGTCACTGACTCACTAGCAGATTTGATCGTATAAAGTGAATTAGGATCAATCAAAGAAATCATTGTTTTTCACTGCTGAAAAGTCTCAACATTGCTTGGAGCTACAGAAAGTTGAACGATTGTTAGATGAGTTAGTATGCTTCACATAAGTTCCTACCATATATTGCCTGAGCACATCTGAAGGCAAACATGTTTCCGCTTGTTCCTAATAGTTACACTTGAAGGTGAGACAAAAGGGATGGCCATCAGGAAGGGAAAATGAATCATACAGATAGAGATAATAGTGTACACTGGTGTCTCTTATACCAGCTTCAGGCTACACAATGTTCCTTCTTGATAAAATGCTCACTGTGTCAGATCAGGGGATTTAGAGTCCGAAATTGTTGTCGTACCTAAAAAGATATGACAGACTATGTGTTGATTACCAACCAATCCTAGCTCTCTATCTGTTGTGAACCTGCATGATGTCATAGGGAAAAAATGTCAGGGAACTACTACCGGAAACACAAATGGGGAAAAAGTGGCATCCAAAGCAGTGTGTGTGATACTGACTGGTGTTGGGGGGGAATCCATGCGTCCAGAGGATAGTCTGGGTTGCACGCTCGCTTTGTGCTTCTGTTGGTTTTGGAAGTCGTCACACAAGGCGAGAGAAGGGGGGGGAGGATAAAATCTTACAAGCTAGACTTTTGTCAGAATGTTGTGAGGTGTTCAAGTTGCAGCATTAGTTGTCATCTACTTTGATACACAGGATTTAAAAAAAAGAGATACACACACTCACATCTGTACACATGACAAAGAAGACAGGGTTGAACCCTACCTACTTTTATAGACTGATAGGTAACCAAGTCCATGTTGTTGTCATTTTGAAAAGATGGGTTCAGTCCAAGTTCCTCTGAGTCAGCTCACAAATGTGCTTTCAGACTCTGTTAGACTATTTATTAGTTCAACAAAATACTTGGTTTGAAGCATACAGAGACCTTGAAGCTACTAATGTTATTGGACAAATAAATATAATGCAGTCTAGAGCTGGACTGACCCGCAGATGTGTGTGTGTTAATGAAACATTAGCCCTCCTTCTCATGTAAATAGACTAAGCCCAAGATCAAAGTTAAGCATAGAGCTTCATCACCTTTAAGTTGTTTAAGTCATGTTTTCTACCATGGTACAAAGTGGCTGTGACGTTCCAGTAGGAAGGATTTTAAGATGTGAAGTCAGGGCCGCTGAACTTAGAAAAGTCACGTTTGTTAACAGTTGAGTGTTGAGTTTCCACCAAAACATGTCATTGTATTAGTCAGTCCGTGGCTCTGCTCACCACTCTTCAACGCCTAACTGTTCTTAAAGCTACACTCCCTGATTTCATCCTAAAACATGTCCACACACCCTAAATCACAGAATCAGCTAGTGTACCTTTAACAAAACACAACCAGGAAAAATCTGAAGGCAAGCTTTATATGAGCACCGTGTTAGCAGATTGCCATCGTTTCCAGGTTTTAGTTTGACTTGTGTGTGAATGAAAATATTAAGGTTTATGTATTCATAACCTCTTAAACAAGTGGTTGACTTGCACTAATTTAAAAACAGTCATGGGTTTGTAAAGATGAAAAACCTCAAAATGTGGCATGTTTTATTTGATGTTATGCAAAATTTAATGTCTGTAGAGTATTAGTCTGAGTTTTGTTTTTACTGCAGTACGTGTGACAATTGTAAATACTTTGTGTACAATTTGAGATGGTATATTTACTACACTGTACATACATGTGATATTGTATCATTTTGTTTTTGTAAAGCAGTTAGTTTCTGTATAATAATATACAAATTGAACTATTCCAGTGTTAGTAATAAAATGTTTTGCTCTCCACAGCGTCTGAACATGTGTGATAAAACAACACCTCGAGGTTAAACCTAAAACTGTCATTTTGTTTTTAGTGGAATTGTTTAAATACTGTTCAACACCAGCAAAGACATCAATATTAGAAACAACATACACTTCATATCCAAAGAGAATGTACTGGTACTGATAAAGCATGGAGTTCAGCTATCGTTGGAAACCCCTAATCTCCACATTTAAGGGATTTTTCTGCTTTCTGGTGAGGAGAAGGACAGACTGAAATGAAGGAAAGGCGGCAATGATTACAAGATAATGTAAAATAAGCAAATGTGAATGGAATTGGCAGCTACTTTGACACACTTTAATACTTTGCATGGTTGTGCTGTGGTAAGCACTGACGTCTCACAGAAAGAAGGTTCTGGCTTCAAACATGCAAACCTCTAAATGGTGAAGGACCATAATGCATCTCAAATATTTATTGTCAGTACTTCGAAAATGTACACATTTAGTCAATGCATACCTACTATCAAGCTGCAAGGTGGCGCAGTTGGTAGCACTGTTGCCTCGCAGCAAGAAGGTTGCCGGTTCGCGTCCCGGTGGAGGCACTGGAATCTTTCTGCGTGGAGTCTCCATGTTCTCCCCGTGCAGCGTGGGTTCTCTCTGGGTTTTCCAGCTTCCTCCCACACAGTCCAAAAACATGTTGAGGTTAATTGGTGATTCTAAACTGTCTGTAGGTGTGAATGAGTGTGCTTGGTTGTCTGTCTCTAAGTGTAGCCCTGTGATAGACTGGTGACCTGTCCAGGGTGTCACCTGCCTTCGCCCTAAGTCGGCTGGGATAGACTCCAGCCCCCCCGTGACCCTAATGAGGATCTTGAGATGAGTTGCACTGGATGGTCCTAATGGATGAATCCTAATGAGGATTAAGCGGTGTATAGATAATGGATGGATGGATACCTACTATCAAATAAAAAGAGACTGTCTTTATTATATTGTTGCTAATCTTGTAGGGTTTCAATCCACATGTGACTCCTGTAGAATGAGCGAATCAAATAATGTCTGGAGACAGTCCGCTACCTGCTAGTTACCCCCCTGTCGTGGTGCCATTTTTCTTTTCCCTAATCATTGTGTTTCTACTGTTTTCTCTTTGACACTAATATCTCTGGTTTGTCCTCATTTGTCTTTCCTGTGTGTTTGTGCCTGAGTGCATCCACCCATTTCTCTCCTGACACATCCACTAATCACCTGCTGCTGTATTTAAACCTCAGCTCATCATTCTACTTTTGGCCAGATGGTTCTGTCTGCTCTCACGGTTCTGGTCTCTTCCAGTCATCTTCTTGCCAGCCAGCTTTTCCAACCGGCCAGCCTGGAAATCCTCTGTGTCAGTCGTTACACTACTATCTGTCAGTCTGCCGCAGGCTCCGACCATCCAGTGCCGCTCATCTCAAGATTTCCACACCAGCCACTCACCTGCTCCAGCCTCACCTCCTCTCGATCCTGGTTTTACTCACCATCAAAAAAAGACTGGTACACAAAAAAAACACCTAACTGTGCAACCAAGTTTGTGTTCTGCACTTGGGCTGGAAATGCCGTTGTCTATCAGTCCCCTCACTCGCTTTTGATTACCTCTATAAAATGTTGTACCCTGCCAGTATTGTATCTCTCTCTGTCTGTAAGCCCACCATATACCCAAATACAAACAAAAGAGTCCACTACTGCAAACTTTGGAACAAGACTTTCAGTGATTTCTTTACCAATACACACTAGACTTTTCAGATCACTGGAGAGAAATCTTTTGATAACACCTACTGTCAGAAATAAACACGGTGCAGCAGCTTTTAGCTAATATGCTGTTTAGGAACCAACTTCCTGATGAAGTCAAAGATACTCCAAATGTAGCCAGTTTTAAATCTACACCTAAAATCAAACTGTTTCATGTTTTGTTAATTGACAAAACCTCAACAATCTCTATTTTTCTTCTGCAACAGGAGTCTGCTGAGGATGTAACAGCAGGCATGTCTGGCTCTAGAGGTGCATGTTTCTGAACTCTAGATACGAGTCCCCACCAGTTTTCGCTTTTTTAGTTTCTCAAACGCCTGGACGGGCAGGTGAGTCTGGTGCTGCTGAAGGCTTCTTCCTGTTAAAAGGGAGTTCTTCCTCCCTTGTGTTGCCAAGTTCTGCTCAAGGGGGAACTGTGAGGTGTCTAAAAATACTTACTGTTATGACTTAACTTGATAAAGATTTATTCAAATTGATTAGAACATTTAGTAGATTTTATGTTTCTGTCTCTTTCTCGTTTTATTTGTAAAGCATTTTGAATTGCCAGTGTGTACGAACTGTGTTTCAGTGTTTCTAGTTGTCCCTAACAACTGGAAGGTGGAGTGAGAACCTGGCCGTGAAGGTCTGTTCTCTAACGTATTCTCGGAAAAGTGAGAGAGCTAATATGAATAATTGTGGTCATATTTGGTTGTTCAGATTGTTTTTAGGCTGATTTTGGTACTGTTAACGATTATCGCCAGACAGCTTCCAGAGACACATTCTTATGATCACTCTCCTAATACAAAATATTGTCAAAAAGATGGAAACCTCCAAGATACTGGTTTTATGGTCATGTTAGCTTATTAGGAGGCTGCTGCTTATTTAGCAGCACTCCTTCTGGCTCTGCATTCTTTTCCTAATTGTTCTTTTTTAGTGTGTGGCTGGGCTGCAAGGTGGTGCAGTTGGTAGCACTGTTGCCTCGCAGCAAGAAGGTTGCCGATTTGTGTTCCGGTGGGGGCACCGGAATCTTTCTGCGTGGAGTTTGCATGTTCTCCCCGTGCAGCGTGGGTTCTCTCCAGGTTCCCCGGCTTCATCCCACACAGTCCAAAAACATGTTGAGGTTGACTGGTGATTCTAAATTGTCCGTAGGTGTGAATGTGAGTGTGCTTGGTTGTCTGTCTCTAAGTGTGGCCCTGTGATAGACTGGTGACCTGTCCAGGGTGTCCCCTGTCTTCACCCTAAGTCAGCTGAGATAGGCTCCAGCCCCCCGCGACCTTCGTGAGGATTAAGCGGTGTATAGATAATGGATGGATGGATGGTGTGTGGCTACATGTACAATATTCACCCGAAGCTTCAGTTCTGTTTCCCTTTTTCTGCACTGGTCTTCTTTTCATTCACATTTCATTACATCCCTTGGGTTCCCCAAAATCTGATCAGCATTACTCGAAAAATGTTCTTCCAACCAAGTAGTTTTGTTTTTGTTTTTTTAAAATAAGCCCTGTGTTCTTCAAATGAGTGAAAAAAGACACACAGTGTGTCTCTATGGAAATCATTTTGTTTCAAGTCTTGTCTAAAATCAGTTTTCATTTTCTTTTAGTGACAGTGATGCAGCAGCCTATCCTGCTGCTTCAACAAACAGTTACTAATTTGAAGAAAAATGAATTCTGGCTTTGTTCAATGAAAATGTAGTTGCAGTGCTTTATTAGATAGATGCTTTTTATTGATGTGACTTGTAACAGTCATGACTACAAATATGAAAGACTTTTTTTCCAGCTCTCTGTCTTTTTTTGTCGACACTACACAACCAATTTACTTTTGAATGCCTGAAAAATTACTGAAACTGCACATAGGGTGCACTTCTAGTGTCACACTGAGTTAAATATGTGTGACTTCTGAATGTTGCATTCTGAGAAAGAGCATTTTGCTCGAAACGTCACGCCAATAAATTGTAAAACGGAGCTTGTTTTGGTGTGCGGATTGTTCTTCTTTTCTTTTCTCATCTTTGACATTTTGTGATCCAGAACCCAACCCAGTGGGCCTCGGGGATGTGCGTGTCTTTCCTTCATCAGACTTTTGTGACATCTGAGTGTTACCATTATTATTGTCTATCCATAACAAACATCACCCCGGCCTGAAAGTGTTCAGCCCAGGATGAGGGACAGAATTAACTGACCTTTCTCCTTTTACATGCAGTTTTGCCATTTTCTGCATCTCTACAGTGCCAGTTTCATCATATTTGACACATGAGTTGCAGTAAGATAGTGAGTCATTACCTGAAAAACCTTTACAATCCAGCGGATATCAGCTGCCCTCTAGTCAGTCGAGTCCCTTGAGGATTTATTGCAACTCTTTGTTACCAAGCCACTAGTTTTAGTTTTCTATAGAATTCTGGACACCCTGGACATAGAAGCAGCGGCTCTACTCTGAGCTCCTCCCGTGTGACTGAGCTCCTCACCCTATCTCTAAGGGAGCGCCCAACCACCCTGCGGAGGAAACTCATTTCGGCCGCTTGTATCCGTGATCTCGTTCTTTCGGTCATTACCCAGATCTCATGACCATAGGTGAG